CTGCTGAGGCCTTTCCAGTCCCATTCCAGCTTTTCCAGCTGCTTGGCCCCTCTGTCGGTGGGTGAAGTCAGGCAGGGTGTAAAACGCTGTTGTTTCAGCTGAAAGCAGCACTGCACAGCTCCCGGGGCAGCAGAGCTCCCCACACAGGATTTGGGGGTGTTCCCCTCACAGTGGTGTTTGAGAACGATCCTCTCCTTCCCTCAGGAGTGCCGGAGCTGCAGCTCCCCCTGCCCGCCCGGCTCCCGCGCCGAGGGGCGGCTTGCTTTGCAAACGCTTTTCTCTTCCCCTCGTGTGGAAATTTGACTCTACAAAAACACTTCCACAGCGGCTAATTGCCAGCCCTGCAGTGACTGGGCTCTCTAATTCCTGCCAGTCAATGAACCAGCCCAAAGAGCTGCTTTTCACAACTTGCTGAATGTACGAACACAGCGCTACAGACATGACACAGCTGGGATTTTTTTTTTGTGAACATTTTCTGGATCCTTCTCAATTTTGAAAATTACTTTCTCTCCATTGGGTAGAAGGAACACCCACAGAGGTGGCAACAAGGCCTGTTCCAGGGAGACACTGAGGAGACCTGGACCCACAGAGGCCCTGGAGACAAGTGGGGGTGCCAGGGAGGAGATGATTGTCAGGAAATTGGTTTGGAGGTAAAGCTGGCGTCGTCCAGCCTGTCTCTTCATGATTTGAGGGCTCATCATCATCTTTTCATGGATTCCTACTGCCCAACAATGTCCACGCCTTGCAAAGTGCTCCTTGATCTCCTGGTGTGTATCCAGAGGGCTGCTGCAAAAATTGCTCTGCTGGTCAATGGTTTAGACCACATCATTCCTCCCTTCCCTCCTCCCTGGCAGCCTCCTTTGCCCGCCCCAGCTGCGGAGCGCTCCCCTTCCCTCTGCCAGCCCCTCATTCCCGCCTCTCCTCCACACGGGCCGTGTTCATTCCCGCTCCAGGCCCCTTCCTGCCCCACACCGGGCAGGAGCAGCTCCGAGCCTTCGCAGAGCCTGCACCGGGAGCTCTGCTTTGTGTCCCCACGCTCCCGGGGTGAGCAAGGAGCGAGGCATCGCCCTGTTCCCGCAGGCAGCACAGGAGGGAACGGCCTCGGGCTGTGCCGGAATGTTCTCCTGGCATCAGGGGCAGATGTCTGCTCTGGAAGGGCTGCCAGCCCCGGCGCGGGCAGCGCTGCGGTGCTCAGGAGCCGCGCGGTGCGGGACTGGCGAGGGACAGCGGGCACTGGCAGCCTGCGCAGAGCCGGCCCCGCGCCCGGGCCCGGTGATCGATCCCAGCACTGATGCTGTGGTCGGTTCCATGATCCATCCTGTAAGGATTCCATGATCCATCCTGTGATCAGTCCCGTTATCAGTGATTGATACCGTCACTGGTTCCATGACTGATCCAATGATTGAGCCGGTGGCCAGGTCCATTATGGATCCTGTGACCAATCCAGTGCCCGGTTCCATGATCGATCCCGAGACCAGTTCCATGACTGATCCCATGCCCAGTTCCATTATTGATCCTGTAATCGATCCCATGCCTGGTTCCATTATAGATTGCATGATGGATCCTGTGATCGGTTCCGTTATTGATCCCGTGATTGGTTCCATTATTCATCCCGTGATCAATCCCGTCCCTGGTTCCATGAGCGGTCCCGTGATTGGTTCCATTATTGATCCCATGAGGGATGCCATTACCAGTTCTGTGATCCATCCCGTGACTGATTCCATTACTGATCCCGTGATGGATCCTGTGCCCGGTTCCGTTATTTATCCCATGATCGATCCCATGCCCAGCTCCGTTATTGATCCCGTGATCGAACCCCTGGTTGGTTCCATTATTGATCCCATTACCCATCCCATACCTGGTTCCGTTATTGATCTCGTGATCGATCCCATGCCCGGTTCCATTATTGATCCTATGATCCATCCCGTGTCAGGTTCTGTTATTCATCCCATGATCAATCCCGTGCCCCATTCCATTATTGATCGTGTGATTGATCCCGTGCTCGGTTCTGTTATCGATCCCATGATCCATCCTGTGCCCGGTTCCATTACTGATCCTGTGGTCCATCCCGTGCCCGGTTCCGTTACTGATCCTGTGCCCGGTTCCGTTACCGATCCCGTGATCCATCCCCTGCCCCGTTCCGTTATCGATCCCGTGCCCGGTTCCGTTATCGATCCCGTGATTGGTTCCGTTACCGATCCCGTGATCCATCCCCTGCCCCGTTCCGTTATCGATCCCGTGCCCGGTTCCGTTACCGATCCCGGGGTCCATCCCGCTCCCGGTTCCGTTACCGATCCCGCTCCCGTTACCGATCCCGGGGTCCATCCCGCTCCCGGTTCCGTTACCGATCCCGCTCCCGTTACCGATCCCGGGGTCCATCCCGCTCCCGGTTCCGTTACCGATCCCGACCCCGATCCCGTTCCCGGTTCCGTTACCGATCCCGCTCCGGGCCCTCACGGTTCTCGCGCGCTCTCTGCCGGGGGCGCGCGGGCGCTGCACCGACTCCCCAGCGCTGCCCTTTCTGCGCACGCGCCCTACGGAAGGCATCCCGCTCCGGGCCCTCACGGTTCTCGCGCGCTCTCTGCCGGGGGCGCGCGGGCGCTGCACCGACTCCCCAGCGCTGCCCTTTCTGCGCACGCGCCCTACGGAAGGCGCGCCTCCTCCCGGCGGGGCGGGGCCTGTCTCCGGCGGCCGCTTGCGCGTGCGCGCCGTGTGACGCGGGGCGCGGGCCGGCTAAAGGCGGGCGCGGGGCGGGGCGCGCTCACAGCCATGGCGCGCGGCAGCAGGAGCGTGTCCCGGCCCGCCAAGGCCCCGGCGCCCGCCAGGTACCGGGGCTGAGCCGGGCCGGGCCGGGCTGGGTAGGGTAGGGTAGAGTAGGGTACGGCGGGCACACCGCGGCACGCCGCCCCCATGACTCCCTTGTCTCCGCAGCCCGGCCCCAGCGGCCCCGGCGCCCGTGGCGCAGCCGGCGCAGCCCGGGCTGATGGCGCAGATGGCCAGCACGGCGGCCGGCGTGGCCGTGGGCTCCGCCGTGGGACACGTCGTGGGCAGCGCCATCACCGGCGTCTTCAGCGGCGGCTCCTCCGAGCCCGCCAAGGCGGCGGCGCCCGCCCAGGTGCGAGCGGGGCCGGGCTGTGCCCTTGGGCCGCCCTTGGGCGGGGGGAGCGGGGCCGGGCGGGAGGGACGGACGGACAGACGGACGGACAGACGGACGGGCGGGCGGACGAGGGGACGGGAGCGCGCTGCAAGAGGCGCCGCTGCCCCCGGCCGCCCTGACCGCGGCCGTGGCCGCAGGAGCCCCATGCCGTGCTGCAGCAGTCGCCGTACGGGCCGTGCCACTATGAGATGAAGCAGTTCCTGGAGTGCGCCACCAACCAGAGAGACCTGACCCTGTGCGAGGGCTTCAATGAGGCGCTGAAGCAGTGCAAGTACAGCAACGGTGAGTGCAACCTGCCCTGCCGGGGAAACTGCTGCCAGCGCAGCACCCCCGGGGGCTGAGGGTTGCAGAAGCGCTTTTCTGGGGATATAGCGCCCTTTAGGGCTTTTGTAGGGAACAGCCGTGTCCTGAAGAGAAAAAGGCAGCTGGAAGGAGAAATGATTTTGGCAATGTCTCTGTGAAGGTTGGGAGGCTGTAGGTACCTTCTGATTCATGGGCAGCGTGCTGCTCTCCCTGGCTCTCTAATTCCTGCTGCATTTGGTACAAGCCGTTGTCAGTAGTTAGGTCATGATCTGGTTACACTGGAGCTTTTGCTCCAGCTGCTGGAACACGTTCCTAATGCTGACCTTCTGCTTCCTCCCTGTAGGTGTTTCTTCTCTCCTGTGAAGAATTCGCCCCCTCGTAGGGAAGAGGATCGTGGTGTAGAGCACCTGCTCTCCACAGGGAGTGGAAGGACAGACAGGGAGTGAGCTGGAGGGAGCAGACTGACCAGACACAGGAGTATTCTAGTGGTAATTCACTTCTGAACTAGTAGGGAAGGAAAGGAATGATGGGACCCAAGGGTCTTCAGTGTTCAGATAGCACTGTATTTATTACAGAGAAATAAAAGAATTTATTTGGACCTACCACCTGTGCATGTTCTTTATTTAATTCTCAAGCTAAAATCAAGCTACCAAAGCATTAACATTGTCAGCCAAAGGACAAGGCACAAGTGTGTACTTCCTGCAAACAGGGGCTGGGCCTGCATGACTTGGCAGAAGGGGATCCAGACACTGGCTGCCCTCCAGGCAGAGGAGAGGCTGCAGAGAGGTAAGCCCACATGTGTCCCGTGGTATTTTCAGTGACAAATTACTTCTCTGTAGATATCCTCTTCCTGAGTCCCTGTCCTGCCCTCAGAGCTAAGAGTGTGACCTGTCTGGCTGTGGGTACAGTTGGCTGATCTGACTTTGAAGCTTTAGCAGGTTATGCAATGTTCTCAAGGTCACTGGCATCAGGGGAAGTTTGGAGCTGCTTTCCTCTTCAGTCACCTTGGCAGCTCAGCCTCGTGACTGCTGCCTGTGGCCTCCAGCAGGACACCCTGTTCCTCACGCTGGTCTAAAAGGGAATTCTGAGGTTTCAGCTGGAGTTTGAGTGGCACAGCAGTGAAGCCAGGACACTTTCAGGTGCTTAACTAATGCATTTTTCATGGCAGAATGAGTCTTTTAACCTTTTGATCTGATTGTTGAATAAAGGACAAGTTCTCAGCCCCTTGCTGGGATCTGTGAGGAAATCCAAGTCTAGATGGTAAATGCTGTTAGCAGATACTGGAGGTGTTGAAAATCCTGCCCCTTCTAAATGTCAGAGTCTTAAGTTCTTGGTAGAGATGTCCTGAGCTGTGCCTGGCCTTATCAGGGGTGTCTTGTGTTCTCTTTAGAGACAGTCAAGGGAAAAACTAGATGCCAGAGATTAAAAGCCCAAGTGCTCTGTGTGCTCTGTGTGAGCAGGGAGGAACCATTCCAAAGCTGTTCCACTCCCTTTGAGAAATAAGTGTTTAGACTGTTGGTGTGTTGCTCTGGGTGGAGGTGTTAAGGAGAGCCAGCAGCAGGTGTGTTCTGCCTTTCACCCATCTTGGCAGAGTGCTGCTTCTGTCTGTCTCTGTCTCAGTGCCTGGCTGTCCCTGGAGCAGCTTTTCCAGGTGATTGCAGTGGGCAGTCCCTGCAGGCCCAGCCAGTGACAGGGGTGCAGGGTGGGAAGGAGGTGCAGGTCCCTGTCCCTGGGGAGTGCAGTGGGTGGGAAGGAGGTGCAGGTTCCTGTCCCTGGGGAGTGCAGTGGGTGGGAAGGAGGTGCAGGTTCCTGTCCCTGGGGAGTGCAGTGGGTGGGAAGGAGGTGCAGGTTCCTGTCCCTGGGGAGTGCAATGGGTGGGAAGGAGGTGCAGGTCCCTGTCTCTGGGGAGTGCAGGCCATGCCAGGGAACACGGAGTGCAGTGGGTGGGAAGGAGGTGCAGGTTCCTGTCCCTGGGGAGTGCAGGCCATGCCAGGGAACATGAGCCCCCTGAAGCAGGAGGATGGTGCCTGTGCCTGGCTGTGATGCTGGGTTTGCCAGGGTGCAGCCTGGGATGGGGTAGTGAAGCTCTGGGTGGGCAGGGGATCCCAGGGAGAGGGGCTCAGTAGCAGGGGACTCTGCTGTGCTGGAATGAGAGCCTGGGCAGGTGTTTGGGCCCTGGTGGAGGCTGTGCTGCCTGGGTGACCAGCAATGGGCCTGTTCCTCATTTAGGGGTCCTCTTGTGTTCCAAGCTCCTCTTGCTCTGTGAGGTGGTCCTGTTCCTGGCTCGGGTGCTGGTGTGAGGCTGAGCCCTCTGCAAGGAGCCCTTCTTCCTCTGCTCTGTCCTCTGAGTCTTTTCTGAGAGCTGCTGCAGCCGATCTGTGGAGTGACCAAGCCCCTCCAGAGTTGTGTTTTCTTGCTGTGTTGCCCATCACGTGTTGATCAAGGCACTGCCAACCTGTGAGACTACAGCCTGGGAGAGACACTTGAGGGTCTCCCAGTTTCTCCTGATGTCCTTCCCCCCATTTGTTCCAAGGAGATGTCCCTCTTTGCCAGGGGGACAAGCTGGGCAGGGCTCTGCCTGGTGTGGGGTGTCACTCTTAACTGGGAGGGGTCCTGCACAGCAGCCCTGCTTGTCCCCTCCCTTGGTGCCTGAATGCACCCACTGCCCCCAAGAGCCCTGAAGGAGCACAGGGGGATGAGAGGAGAGTCCCACAGGTGCTGTATGAGGGCTGAGGTGGAACAGGATCATGCCTGCACCCCCCACTCCTCTGTGGAGGTGAGGTGGGTGCCTGGCTCTTACCTGGGAGGTCAGGGTAGTGTTTCCCCAGGTCCTCAAGCAAGGATTCGTAGCAGATGGCTTCAGAGTTTTCTTCTCCTGGCAGCAGAATGGGAGAAATGGATTAGTCTCTGTCCTGGCTGTAAACTGAAGGCCTGTAACTGGGGCAGGTGGTTCTGCCCAGGAGAAGTTCCTTCTCCCTTGGACAAACAAAGGCTCAGCTCTAGCTGTTCATCTGAGCTGGCTTCTGCCTCCTCAGAGCTTCTGTGCTGTGTCCAAGTGGCTGCTGAGCAGAGCCCTCCCCAGAGCAGACCCTTCCTGCCCCGGGCTGCCTGCACAGGGAACTCACGGGCAGCTCTGACGAGGACGTAGCGCTGCCTTCCCTGCAGGTATTTACTGGCACAGTCAGATGCAGGATCTTCTACTTTGCTCAGGTTCATCAGGGTGCCCTTTTCATCCACAAGATCGATGCAGTCTGGAGAGAGAGAGATGTGGTGAAGGAAGCCCAGACTGTCCCTGTGGGGCCAACATGAGCCTGAGGGGTTTAGAGGCATTTTCCTTGGCAAGTTACACTTAGAACAGAATCTGCTGAGATCTGGGGAGTGGGAGGTTTGCTGTCCCTTTCCCTGTGCTTTGGGATGTTCTGTGTAACCCGTTTGTTACCCTGTGCTGTTCCTCTGTGGGTGAGAGGCAGTCCCTTGGTGACCACAGCCCAGAGCACTCGTACCTTCAGGCCTGCACTGACACTTCCACTTCAGGTGGCCTGTGAGGGTCTGGACAGAGCAGAGCAGGTTCACCATTTCTTGGCAGTTGGCTGCAAACAGGGAATGAGATCTGAGACAGGAGCATGGTCACCCCAAACCCAAGGACCACATGGGCATGGCAGGTGGCTCAGAGGTGCCCACTGTGGCATCAGCAGGGCCTTGAGCATTACACCCATGGCTGCTGGGAGTGGGTGCTGAGAATGCCCCAGGTCAAGGGGAGAAGATGAGCACTTTGATTTGGGGAAAATGGTTTGATTAATAAAGTGTCTCTGTTCTTCGATTTGTTTCATCAGGCATGAGTAGGAAAAAGCAGTGAGCCCTGGTCCTTGCCAGTGCCCTCCTACGAGCTGGTCCCAGTCACGAGGGGCAAGAGCTGGAGATTGTGGCTGAGTCACCCGGGGGATATTTTGGCCATGAACTCTGACTGAGTTTGTCACAATTGAGAAATCCCCCAGGGCTGACACACGTCAGTAGTCAGAGCTGGGGATCCAACTCAAATAGCAGAGGGAGCAAAGGCTTAGGACTGTGTGTGTCTGATGGCTTCAGCCACGAGTGTCTGGGGTAAGGCCATGGCTTTCAGCCAACTGGGTAAGGTCAAGATAGGGACTGCTCATTCCTTCCCACAAACGCCTGCTCTCTGAAACTGAGAGCCAGGATTTCAGTCGGGGAGCCCTTCCCACACAGCCCAGAACAGAGGAGCTCTGCTAGCAGCTGGCACTTGTGCCCCATGGCTCTTCTGGTTGTGGCTAGATAAGCAGGCTCCCCTCCGGTGCTTTCCCAGAGCTGCCAGGCTGGGAACTCATCCTCACCTCCAGCCTCCCTCCCTGTGCTTAACTCAGCTCTGCTGGAGTGGTTTCCGTCCATGATTTGGAGTGTAGAGGTTATAGATCTCCCTTTTTGAAAAGCAGTGACGGTGCAGGGTGCTGCTGTGCCTGGCAGAGCTCTCCTGCCTGTTCCCTCAGCACCGGGCACCAGGTGCTGTGTCCCTCCCTCACCGTGGGGGTGACGAGGGTGGCCCAGGTGTCCGGCTGTCCCCACCTACCTCCGAATCTGACCGTGGCGAACATGGTGCTGCCGTGCCCCTGGCAGGGCGGTGGGGCCGGTCCCGTCCTGCAGGCAGCGCTGGGAGCTGCTGGGGAGCCCCGGGCACACGGGCTCCATCCCCACTGACGCTGTTGTGGTTTCAGCAGCCAGATCGCCCAGCAACAGCGAATGGCCCCTGCAGGTTCTCCAGCCTCCTGCGGGGGGAGAAGGGAGGCAGCGCAAGGGCTGAGCCAAACAACAGCGTCTTGGGAAGGCTGCCTGCTCCATGTGGGCCCAGATGCTCTGAATTTACGACTTTTTGTAGGCTCATGCTGTTTCCTGTCCCCCACATTTGTCCTGCAGCTCATCTGGGCTGTGGTGGTGCCACATCTGTTCCCCTGCTCCTAACTGAGCCCAGCACTGCTGCAAGGGCAGCCTGGCTTCCACTGTGACATGGCTGGATGTCACTGGAAAAATCCCCCTGAGGAGCCTGCCTGTGCTGCTCCTACTCCGGAGCAGGAGGCACTGGGGTTTTGCAGCCCCATGGTGGACATGGTCACGTGCTGGCTGCATCTTCTGTTTGGTGCCCAAATGCTGCTGTGCAAGTGTTCCTGCAGTCAGGGCCCTGCAGCATCATCCCCTTTTCCTGTGGAAAACATGGATGAAATCATGTCCCTGGGCTGCTCAGCAGATGGGGAGGCTGGAATGGTGGGAACCAGTAACAACACTGATGTGCTGCATTATCCAGTGGGGATAATGTCACTGCTCTGAGGAAAATTCCCTTTCTCTGGAATGCCCCTCTTTGTATGAGGAGGTGATTTCCCTCTGTCTTGCCAGGTTTCATTTCACAGTCAGTCTAATCCCTGGACTTGACCTGCTCAGCGCTTGGGACAAGGTGTGTGTGTGACACTCCTCCCCTGGGACACGTGCAGGGAGACTTGTGTTCATCTTGCCACCACTTGGCAGAACGTGGGGAGTGCTGGTGGGCAGCAGCTGCACCTGCAGGGTGCTCGTACCTGCCAGAGCTCATGGAACACAAACTGCTGACATCTGCAGGGAAAACCTGCAAACGTCTTTGCCTTGGGGCTCTGTGGGTGCTGCAGAGGGCGGGAGCGGCTGTCCCTGGGTGGAGCTGAGGTGGCACTGGCAGGGGCTGAGCCTGCCTGTGGAGGGCAGGAGGCGCCCAGGGCTCTGGCACATGAGACGTGCCCGCTGCCCTCACCGTGGGGCCAGCCTGGGCTGGTGGCCGTGTGACGCAGTGGCCCGTGCCAGGTGTCACAGGCAGCAGTGGCTTCACGCCGGCTGAGCTGGTGGCCGTTGCCTGTGACAGTCTGCTGTCCTTCCGCCCCAGCTGCGCTGCAGCCACCTCTGCCCCGCTCCCTGGGGACACACACGCCTCCTGCCCGCAGCCACCCACCAGGGCTGCCCACGGCTGCTGCTCCTCAGGTGGCCCTGGCCAAGAGGGAGGCCAGCTCCCAGCCCCTGCTGCAAGTTATGCTGAGAGCCTGCCCAGTCATTCCTGTCCCCGTGATGGAGCTGCACCTTTCCTTCTGTTCCTTCTGTGATGGGACAGCTACCTCCCATTGTCCCTTCTCCCCGGTGTCCCCCAGCCTGCTGCCTCCCCAGGGCATCCTTGGCACGGTGTGGCTCAGGCTCCTGGGCTGCTGCATGCCTGGCAGCAGAGGGCCTGAGTGTGAGACCGCAGGGAAACCTCTCTGCTCCTCCCAGCAGCCAGGAGAGATGGTCAGCGATGCCCAGGGTGTGGGGTGAGCTGTGGGTGTGCTGGTGCAGCTGAAGGAAATGGGCTGTCACCCCCTCCCTGAAGCCCAGCTGCAGCAGAGCGAGCAGCCCCAGGGAGCTGAGTCCCTGAGCCCCCCGTGTCATTTACATACACCCCGCCAGTGGCACGGCACAGCAGCCGGGCTCTTGCAGCACTCCAGAGCTGCTCTGAAGCAGCCTCCCTTGCTCTGCCTCCTGCCATGGCCCTGGCATTCACAGTCCTGCTCCTGCTGGGGACGCTGGGCACAGGTAAGGGCGCTGTGGCAGAATCAGCTCTGCAGGGTGGAGGGCAGGCTGGGCTCTCTTGGTTTGAGTAGGGCGTTTTGCTCCGGGGCTTGTGGTGGGATGAGCAGGGTGGTGGTTGGGAAATGGCGTTGCCTCATTTTGGGGGCTGAGGGTGATGGGCGACACGTCCCAGCCCATCACTAACTGCGTGCCTGGTGCGTGCAGCTGGCAGGGCTCAGCCCGTGCTGAGCCAGCCGCACTCCGTGTTCGTGCAGCCCGGGCAGAGCGCTCGGCTCTTCTGCACCCTGAGCCCGCAGTACAACATCAGCCACTTCGGCATCTCCTGGTACCAGCAGCGCCCGGGGCACTCCCTCCAGTACCTGCTCTATTACAACTCCGAGCGGGACAAGCACAAGCCTGCCGGGACTCCCGAGCGCTTCTCGGCCACCAAAGACCTCGCCAGCAACGCCTGCATCCTCACCATCGCAGCCGCCTGCCAGGACGACAACGGCACCTACTACTGCGCCCTGTCCCCCGCCCTCAGGTGGCTCTAGGGAGGCACCTGCAGCTTTCTGCACTTCCTTGCCACCCTCTCCCAGCAGGGAGAGCAGCAGCCCTGGGAGGGATGGGGAAAATCCATCTTGGCACGCTTGAGCTTGCCGTGTGCTGGGCAGTGCAGCAGGCTCCTCTCTGTGCCCGGGTGTCCCTCACGGGGCAGCGACAGCCGGGCACGGAGCGGCCAGGGCAGCCTCGGCCCGGCTGCGGCTTCATACAAGCTTAAATAAAGGCGATAAAGGCGATAAAGGCTGATCTCGGCCCACGGCCCGTGTGGTGTCCCCGGAGGGCAGGCAGGAGCAGCTGCGGGCCGGGCGGGGTCCCTGGGCCGGGGGGAGCCCTCACCCAGCCCTGGAGCAGCCCCTGCTCCCACAGCACAGCTCCTGAGGAGACAGGGACACGCGGAGACTCTCTGTGAGGACGTTTTCTCACAGAAGATGAAAACTTTTCCCACAGAATTCCCACAGAACTGGGGAAAATACCGGGAGGCCGCACTGCGCATGCTCAGCTGGGCGCGCGCCCTGCAGCGGGAGTTAAGCCCCAAATACGGGCTCTGCTGTCACGTGAGGAGCGATCTCGGCCCACGGCCCGTGTGGTGTCCCCGGAGGGCAGGCAGGAGCAGCTGCGGGCCGGGCGGGGTCCCTGGGCCGGGGGGAGCCCTCACCCAGCCCTGGAGCAGCCCCTGCTCCCACAGCACAGCTCCTGAGGAGACAGGGACACGCGGGGACTCTGTGGGGACGTTTTCTCACAGAAGATGAAAGCTTTTTCCCACAGAATTGGGGAAAATGCCGGGAAGGCCGCACTGCGCATGCTCAGCTCGGCGCGCTCCCAGCGGCGGGAGTTAGACCCAAATGTGGGCCCTGCTGTCACGTGAGGAGAGGCCGGCGCTACCATTGGCTCGGGGGAAGACAAAATCAGGCGGGTCACTTCCGGGTTACCTCAGTGCGCGCCGGGGCCCCGCGGCGGTCGGAGCGTGCCCTTGCCCTGCTCGTGTGCTCAGCACGTGCGAAAAGTCCACAAAGGACACACAGGAGTCCTGCAACTTTATTTGAATAAGGGAGAGAGTCCACTACGCCATATCCCCGTGGGGTCTCTGTGGAAGTTTAGGATAAAAGGAGGCTGCGTCCTCCGAAACTCCCGGCCGCAGGTTGCCGTCTTCCTTTCCCTGTTGGCTGAGGTACAGTGGCAGGAGGTGGGCACTGGATTGTGTAAAGCAAGCATGGGATGATGAATTCTTGTGAATAAACGTGTTTGTCAAAGGTGAAGATCAGCTCGAATTTGGTGCAAGGGGGTTCCAAGGGCTAAAAGGAAGCTGCAGTTTGCTGCCTGAGATGTAAAACATGTCAGGATCTGGCTGGCAGAGCCATCCTGCCTCCCGCAGGGGAGCAGCGTGGGAAGGCACAGGCAGCTCTGGGAAAGGTGCTGGAGAGCTCAGCTCCACCCTCTGGGCTCCTGCACAACCAGGAGTGAATTTGAAATACCAAGGCCTGAACAAGTTCAAGCAAACAAATCTTCCCTGCTCGCTGTCAGCAGGTGGACAGCAGAGAGCTGCTCACAAAACTGGACTCCTCTTTGAGGAAACTGCTGCAGAGTAACAAGGAAAGTTTTTAGAGACAATAAACATCCCATCCTGGGCAGATCCCTGGTCTTGTGCTGTGGGACTGTGGCAGAACAACTCCATTGGAGTTCTGAATGGTTAAACCCACTAAGAGGAACATAAGTACTATAGTGACAAATCCCAATACAATTCCTTTACACTAAGGCGGGAAAAAAAACCCTACCAACTTTAGTCAGGATCTAAAATATCCCTTCTAGCTGACACAGCAAAGCAGGGACTGAAAGGCATCCACAACTAGCTATGCAAAGCATCCATACTTTCAGCCAGTGACCCATATAAAATGAATAAATAATTCATAATTACATGTGTAGTGTACACCATGCATGTCAGGAAGGGTTCCAGGGAGAGAAGCACAGTGGGCAGGCTTTGCCCTCTGAAAGGAAAAGTTCTCAAGTCCTGCTGTCACTGGAAAGTCTCTGGACTGCAGAGACACAACTGGACCTCCATTTACAGCTGTAAAGCCACACTGGATATTTTCCCATGATGTTCTGTAGCCTAGATTGACTCCATGATTCCTGAAATTCGGAGGAAGCATTCAAAGAATACACTGGCACAGTAGCACAGTACCAGCACTCCAAAGCAGGTGCACAATGAACTGAAGAAAGCAGGATCCAGTCCCAAAAGTTCCTTCCTTCCTCTCTTCTCTGGGTTTGCCCCCACACACAAGGCAAGCTTTTTACACTGAGGCTTTGGTAAAGCAACAGCTGCTGTCTTGTCCTTTAGGATTCAAGGCTCCAGCTCCTTCCTGCTGCTGCTCAGATGTGCAGCTCTCAAACAGGCAGGAGCTCTGGGGGGTACTCCCCATAGCAGTATTTGGCAATTGGGTCTCTGTAGGTGTTCTCATGCTGCACACTCTGCCAGGAAAGGAGGAGAAGCTTTAACAACATACACACAGTGAAACAAGGCATCCCTTCACTGAGGGACAAAACCCACAGCGTTGATGCACAGGCAAAAAAAAAAAAAATCCCAAATTCTTCTACACATCAGAGTGTCTTTGGATCAAGAACTCTGCATTGCCAGCACACAAGAGCCAGCTGATGCATTACTGCACTGCAATGTTGAACTAGAACCTCCTTTTCAAGAGAGTACCCAAGCAGGTGGGAAAAGATTTCATTTTAAAAAAAAATAGATCTGTTCAGGCAGTATCATCATCAAATCTTCTAAGCAAGCAGAGCACAATAAAGTTGGCAACTTCAGATGTATGCATTTTTCTGGACAAAAGGCAGAGTTCACATTTTATGGGGAAAAAAATCCCAGTAACTTTGGAGACATTTGCAACTCTATCCTTTGCAGTCCATCCCCACTGCTACCAGTGTAGCATGGCCAAAAGCACTTTCTAAAAGAGCCACTGCTTGCTTAGAGCAAAACGTGTAACAAAACCACATGGGTAACAGAAGTTCCCCTCTGTCCTTAACAAGCAGAGAAATTACAGTTTTTGAGTTACCATGCAGGTGATTGTCAGCACATGGTGAGTCTCCAGCTCTACCAAAAATAAAGAGCATTCTGAGGCTAGTGGGAACAGCTCCCACTGTCTTCATCCTAATGAGATCTTCCCCAGAACTCATCTCAGATCTCCACTGGTCACTGAACTCAGTCTCTTTTTAGTTCAGCCCCTCTTTTCTGCAGAGAATGTGCAGCTCATCCTGCTCTAAATGCGTGCTTTGCCTTCAGGCTGGCTCTCAGCCATAGCTTCAGCTTTTGTGAAAATACAAACACGACACACCAGCCCTTCACAGCACTGAGCCCCATTTCCCAAGGGCAGCTTTTGGGCCCTGCCTGTGTGCTGGTGCCTCACCTGGGATGAAGTCCTGCACTTGGCCAGACACAGCTCGAAGTGATCTTCCACTGCCATGAAGAGGTTCTGGAAGGCAATCGCTGCCCGGTTCAAGAAGCGCTCCAGGAGGTGTTGCTGAAGTGGTCAGCAAAGAGAAGGCAAAAATCAGAAACACTCTGCTTCAGCAGGGAGTAATCAAAGCCCACCCCAGCCTACAGAGCTCAGGTATCAGAGGAGTAGTAAACAACTCCACTATAGGATTTCTAGCAAGCACTGAAAGGCGAATGCCTCAGAACCCCAGCAGCAGGACAAGAATCTAAGAGAAGCACACAGAATATGGGGAAATGCCAATTACAAAACTAATAGTGGCTGCAGTAACTCTTCTGCAATCATTTCCCTTCTGCAAATGCAACTCCACTGAAGCTGAAACACTTTTCAAGGCTCCCAATATTTCCTCCCAAAGGTGGGAAGGATGAGTTTTGTTAAAGCTTTGTTTATAGCTTGCCATACGCTCCTTGGAGGCTTTCCTCATCATTCCAAGAAAAGGAACTGTCCCTCTAAGGGAAAAGCTCCTCACAAAGAAGCACTTTTAGCCACAGAGGGGCCCCAGCAGCTGAGAACACCTGGGAAGCAGGAGGAAGTCCATCACCTTGCTGGGCTGCAGGCAGCAGGAGACGCAGAACTCGTAGACGCTGCAGCAGCCGTTGGGCAGGCAGCTGTCACAGCTGTGCAGCTTGGTGCTGGGCACGTGCACATCGCAGCAGCCGTTCACCAGCACGTCCTTCCTCTCACAGATGTAGCCTGGAAAACAGCAGCAGCACTGACAAGGGGCAAGGCACACCCCTCTGTATGTTCTGTGGAAATCTGCAGTAAGGATCACATTCCTTAAGAGCAGGTTTGTTTGTCGTTTAGTGGGTTCTGATCCCCCTCAGTTCTGTGCAGCCATTCTTTGGAATGGAGAGCAGCGTTTCAAACAGCCTGGTGCTATCTGCACAGCTATCATATCCTGCTCTAATATGTGCTCTATATACACCATGAGTATTTAAATGCAGATTATTTAACTTCTGAGTATTTTTGGGCACAGTTCCTTGTGAAAGGGGGAATGGGATTGGCATTGGTTATATTGGAAAAAAAAACATGACACACGTTTTTGCAATGGGTCTGTGTCGGGATATTTCTCTTACAGTTCAATATGAAGAGACTTAGATTTAACCATGCAGAACAGTGTAATATTCATTGCTGAGTGGAATCCTTAACAGTACAGAAATATGGTGTATATTATAGAATATACACCACATTAGAATATATATATAGAAACAGTACTACCACAGTGTTAGACTGTGAAAGATCTGTAATTTTTAGAGATCTCATGAACTGGCACTAACCCTAAGGCAGTGCAAAATTTAACACTGATGCAAATCACAAAAGATATGGTGGGTTCTCTATAGCCTTGATTTGTGACCAAGAAAGATCCAGGTCTAAGCAACAAGCACAGGCAGGGCAGGAAAGAGTCTTTAATTTCTGCCACTTAAAAGAAGTGGTAAATAACCTTGGGTTTACAAGGGTCAGATAAGCTCGACTGAGCACTAATTACACCAGCCCTGAGCTGCCTCCATGCAAGGCCAAGGTTTCCTCAGACGCTCTCCTAACCCCCCTGACAGCAGGAGCACGCTGCAGGGAGACACAGAGAGCTCTGCAAGCAGCCACAGCAAACTGAGCAGGACCCATGTCCGGCTTCTGTGCAAAGGTAACTGGAATTCTCTGGCTTTTAGGCGGCCACAGTCACACTCACACAGCCCTGGGCCTGAGGCTAGTGTGCACAGAACCAAAGCAGCAGCACCTGCAGCCACAGTGAAATTCAGGCAGCCAGAAGAGAACAGGCTGAGTGAAAATGCCTTAATAAAAAGCAGTTGTTACATCAAAGTGCCATCAGCAGTCAGAGAGGCAAAGCAGCACTGCCACATGCAGAATAAGTTCAACTAAATATCAACTATACCCAGTTCATCTGTAATGAGGAGCTTGCCCTGCACAGAGTTCCTGCACTGGTTGCTCAGCTGACTGCTGTTCCCCGAGCTGAACTTCACCTTCCACAGGATGGGCTGCTCATGCTCCTGCACTTGGAGGAGGGTCCGATCTCTCACCATCCTCTCTTCCTGCAAGGAAAAACAGGAATGCAACCAAACGTACCAGTTCCTCCTGCCACTTCAAACCACGCGCCTCTGCCAGGATTAAAGATGTCAAGAACTTGTAAAGTCCCCAGCACAGGAAACTCCAGCATCAATGGTGAAAACTACTACTTGTAGTATTTTGTTTTACACTTCAACAGGCAAACACACACTTCGGTAAAGTCAGGGTATTCCAGTTCACCGTGGATCAGCTAACGCAGCTGAACTCAGTCACAACAACCACAAAAGTAGTATATTTTATATTAAATAACCACAGCTGAACGAATTTCTCTTTCACGAGCCCTTTGCCAGTGGAATCACCACTCCCAAGAGACACAACAACAACTACCAAACCCAGTGGACACTTTCTTTTCCCAGTTTCGGTTCAAACCGCTATTGCTCGAACAGAGAATCAGGCATTCCTATTTCAAACTCCATTAAATGTTTACCTTCCCTCACCTAACCGGAAAAGAAGGCCTGGCTTGTGTCTGTGTGTGCATGTGTATATGTGTGTATGTATAGAATTGTGTGGTTTTTATAACGCCATTCTTAGGGCAGCGTTACCCAGGGGCGCGGTGACAGCGCCTGAAGAACGAGACTCACCGTGGGGCAAGGGATGTTCCACCCCGGCCGGCACTGACCTGCTTGAAGGTGCTGCTGATGAAGTAAACCAGCGAGAGCCCGAACACGACGCCGAGGACCCATCGCTTCCTGAGCAGCCGCCGCCAGAGCAGGGCCCCACAGGGCACCATGGCCGGGCGAGGCGCAGCGCGGCCGCGGGGCCGGCATCACCGGCGGGCGCGCAGCGAGCGGCGCATGGTATTTCCTAGCTCTCAGGCTTCTGCTCTCCAAGGCCTTGCAGGCCTTGTGCCTGCTACATGTATGTATATGTATGTGTATATATGTACATATCTATGGATGTATACCATGTATATATGTATGCATATATATAGCTGTATGTATAGGTATAGAACCGTATTAATAGATATTTATATATATGTATGCCTACACATATGTATGTATAGCTATAGATGTATACTGTGTCTATATATATATATAGATGTATATATCTGTTATAGATGAAAAATTAAAAATAGCCAATTTTAATTAAAATATAAAAAATAAAATTTATTTTGCAACCTTAATACAGTCTCGACAGCCACCAACCAAATCAGACAGTGTACCACCCCCAGGAGGTGATATGGGTGAACTTGACCATATTAACAGATATTTATATATATATGTATGTATACCTACACATATATATGTATGTATATCTATATATGTGTACTGTGTATAGATATAGATGTATAAACCTATATGTATGTATAGAATCATACTAATACATATGTCTGTATATAGATGTATATACATGTATGCATACCTATATATGTATACTATGTATATATGTGTGTGTATATAGATATGGATATGTATGTATAACCGTATTAATAGATATTTCTGTATATATATGTGTATACGTGTATGTATATATATATAGGTGTATATCTATATATGTATACTATGTGTGTGTGTGTGTATATATAGATTTACATATGTATGTTTATGTATAGAACTGTATTAATAGATATGTCTGTATATAGATGTATATACCTATATGTATGTATAGAATCATACTAATATATATGTCTGTATATAGATGTATATACATGTATGCATACCTGTATATGTATACTATGTATATATGTGTGTGTATATATGGATGTATATGTGTATGTGTATGTATAGAACCACATTAATAGATATGTCTGTATATATATATGTATGTCTATCTATATGTATGTATATCTATATATGTATACTATGTGTATGTGTGTACATATAGATTTACATATGTATGTGTATGTATAGAACTGTATTGATAGATATGTCTGTATATATGTATATACACATAAATATGTGTAGGATTGTTAATAGATGGGTATGTAGGTATACATTAACAGATCTATATCTATACATCTATGTATATGTATGTGTATATATGTGTATACACATACGTATGTATTTACACATGCATTTGTACATATGTGTATGTAGAGATGGATATATGAGGTATATATTATATGTGTGTGATATGTTCTGTGATCCAAGTGCACACATATATAAATACATTTATGTCTGTCTGTGTTTGTTACACACACACACGTGTGTGATAACAGGTGTGTGTGCGGACACAGTGAAGGCAGAGCACAGCTCTGGGAGTGCTCCCAGGCCGTGCCTGTGTGAGGGCTGCAGGTGCCAGTCCCAGGGGAAAGCAGCTTTGCTGGGCCAGACCCGTGGGCAGGGCTTGAAGCACCGAGGGTTCCTGCCCCTCTGCCTTTCCCAGGGACACGGAGAGGTAAAACTGTGCTGAAAGCTGCTCTCTGTGTGTGCTTCCTCCAGGTGTTCCTGTGTGAGCACTGGGGCCTGCTGCTGTCACTCACTGCCTTGAGGGACCTGGGATGAGTTTGAAATCTGGACTGCCCTGTGCTGTCTGAAGCACTCCATCTGTGAATGTCTGCATGCTCCTGGGCTTCCATCTCTGCCAGTGTGGCACCTTTCACCTCTGAATAAAGCTGTTCCTCAGGTACTGTGCTTTGAGACAGCTGCCAAACCTTCCCAGAGCCACTGTGCCTTTGCACATGGGCTGCACATCTATGTGTGTATTGTCATGTGTTATGAATAATGTTATAGCTTTTTATATTCAAGAGTATTTAGATCTTAGTCTTTACATTTTATTAAGTAGCTGTTGTACTCTGGGGCTGCTGTCCAGAGTTTGGAAATGGTATTTCTGTAGATTAAAATGAATGAGTTGCTTGTTTAAAAGAATATTGTCATGAGCTAATAGTGTTTTTTTTTCATTAAAAATGTTTACACATTTTCTCTTTCTTCCTCCCTCTCAGTTTTGCTTTGCAGAGCAAGTTCCTGCAGAAAAAGAAGACTGGATCTCATTTCCCAAGAGGCTGTTGAGTCACGTGCTGCCTGGAGAGCCACTGTTAGGTGTCCCCATGTTCCTTGCCAGGACATGCCATCCTTCCTGGTGACTGCCACTTCCTGCAGGAGGGGACCTGAGTGACTCCTGCCCACCCTGGAACCTGTGTGCCCCTGTTTGCCATTCAAGGCTGTCTGTTAAGTGTGCTGAGAAACGAATGGGAGCTCAAGGTGCTCTGTCCCAGAAACAAATGATTGCTGCCAGCCATGTCCCCTGAGCGGGTGCCACTGCCCTCTGCCCCCAGGGCCTGTGCCAGTAGCCACTCTGGGATTTGCTGAGCCACAGGGTTCATGTTGAGCGTGTTGTGTTTTAGGGTTTTGAGGAAAATGCAGAGGCGGCACAGCAGCAACACGGACACCGTGCCTCCTGAAAGGTAAATCCTTCCCCTTCTTCTTCCCTCCAGCTTCCTCTCCCAAGAGGAGGGTTCTGATTTAGGAGCAGGGCTGTCAGATTAAGCCCTTTTCTGACCCAGACACATTCTTCACATTTTTCTTGTGGCGAAAGCTGATAGGCCAAGAAACACTTATAATGTATTGTAATTAGGAAACTGTTGGCTTCTGATTGTGATGGTGTGAGTTATAACATCTGTATTGTCTCACCCTTCTAATGAGACTGAAAATGGAATAAAAGTTTTTAAAATTCCTCTCAGTTGCCCCATCTCTGGGCCAGGAAAAGGCTTAATCCGACAGAGGGGTGTTTTAGAGTATGAAAGCTCAAAATTGAGAAAGTCACGTTCCTGTGTGTGGTGTGGCCGGGCTCTCTGCTCAAGTCTGGGGATTCTAGAGACAATTTTACTTTTCTTGCTGTCACTCACTGCTTGCTGCCAGCCACAGTGTTTCAGGGTGATGCAGGATGGCACAGCTGGCAGAGCATGGGCAGGATTGTGAGCTCTGGAGGAGGGGTTGGATTCATGGCACCCTGAGCACTGTTGGTGTGCAAGGATGAACCTGTGTGAACAGGAACCATTTGCACTTCTCTTAGTGAGGTGTTTAAAAAGTCTGCTGGCCTGAAGCTCCCAACTACTCTGACTTAGTGTTTTATGAAGAGTTTGGGTGACCCTTTACATCTTCTTAGTGAGGTGTTTAAAAAGTCTGCTGGCCTGAAGCTCCCAACTACTCTGACTTAGTGAGTTTGGGTGACCCTTTACATCTTCCCAGAGTTTATCTATCTTCATGTATGTGAGTATTTAGAATACCTCTAATTTGTTTCTGTAATTATAACATCAGCAAGGGAGCTTTGCCACTGTTGTTGTTCTGGTACTAAATATTCCCTGGTGCTTTCCCAGAGTTAGAGTATGACTTTTTTATTTTTACTTCTAAAGAAGAAACTAATCTAATTACTCCAAGACAAAGATGGAACTAACAAATTTCATTGCTCTGTTTGAGCTGAGGTTATAAGTGAAAGATCATCAGTAAATATTTTATTTTCTGTAGTGGTTTTGCAGTTAGAGTTGAAGCCTTATGTCATGGCCATTGCTAGCATGGTACCATTCTCAATTTCAGGGGGAAAGAAAGCCATCTTCAGTTTTTTTCTGCGTGATGCTTCTGATTTTTAACAGGGTAAATACATAGTCAGGAACAGAGGCTGAAGTTTTTCTAACTGTAGAAGAAAATGCTGTTGCCACTGGTCTTCACTTCTGTTAACTTCAGCAGCCTCACAACTTCAACAAACAAGCCTTGTTTGTTTGTAAATATGTCCCAGATGAATTCCTTATTATTCCAAAGGATAGTTGTGTCTATTTGTAGCACTGGGTTCCTCGCAGGCTGTTTGTTACATTCCCAGCCCTAAGCTGTGTGCACATCCCTGAGCTGTAACTTTAGGTGTGAATTTAAAGGCCTGGCTGATGAATATTTTGGACCAGAACGAGGTGTGCAATGTCTTGTTGACTTGATTCCTTGCAGGAGCCTGTGGAGCTGCAGTGGGAATGGGGTGCAGCTACAAAAAGCCTGATTAGGAGTTTGCTTAGTGGGAAGGTTTGGCCAGAGAGGTTTGAGGGTGTCCCCAGAGGGAGGTGAAAGGCAGAGCTCTGTGCCCTGGGGAGGCTTTGGAACCCTTGGGGGAGAGAGGGTTGATGGCCCTGTGTGTGCTGTCTCAGCTTGTAACTGCTGTTCCTAAAGTTAGAGATCTCCCAGGATTCAAATCAGGAGAGACCAAAGCTCTGCACCGTGCCTTGCTTGTGGGCTTTGCCTCTTGCTGGGGTTTGTTTATTGCTTACTCTGCTTTTGCAGGTTAGAGAAGTGTTTGCTGGCTGTCAGGTATTGACTGCCTGGTGATCATTCTACTTGTTATTTGCATTGTTCCCTCTCAACTAAACTTTGTATTGACTTCTAGTGAAGAAAAAAAAGAAACCCTGTTGTCTTTTGCTGTTAGGATAAAGGTATTTAGACTTTCTCTTTGTAATCTGGCTGTATTCCAACATGCTTAGGAAAGAATCAGTGCCAGAACCAGTTCTGCCCTGTAATTTGGGTACATCCATGTCCAATTCGCCAAAAATAGAAAAGAATTTATCTGGACCCATGAGCACATCCTTCACTTCTGTGTCAGGTCAGGGACACACAAAGCAGCTCTCAATGCCTCTCTTTCCCTGGTGATTATGTCTCTTCTAGTGCAATTCATCAGTGGGCAGGCAGTGATTGTCCCAGAGTAAAGACAGAGGGTTTTGGGGGTAGGTAGTTGTTTTGAGTTAGCTTGGTTAATTTGTTTGTTTCTTTTGACTTGGTGATGCTGTGTCAGGTTCCATGAGGTTTTGTGTGTTTTCCTTAAAATACCCAAATCATTATAGAAGATACTGGGTTTGGTACTGGATATATTATTTCTTTGTTTTTTACAAAAGCAGACAGGGTGTTTGGGAGCTTCATTTCTTAGTGAGGGAGCTGATGTGTTCTGGTCAGGTCTGGAGAGGCTCTCTGATCTCGGTACTGGCTTCTAGTCATGCAGCTGTGACTTCTTGACAGAAAACACAGGGAAAAGCATCTGGAGACCTTGGTGTTCTGAGAGAGTGGGAATCCTTAAAACCAGAGGGTTTTGGGAAAGCTGCAAAAGACAGCCCTCAGAGACAGCAGAAGTGTGATTGGAGCTAAGCAGTAGCCGTAAGATTTGTCAGCAAAAAAGTTCTATGAGAAGCAGAAAAGTAAGGACAAATAGAACAATGGTCTGTGTATTAATGCTTGGATAGAATGACTCCCTAAGCTACAGAAAAGTATATCTAGCGAGATATTAGGAAGTTCTAAGCTTAATAATGGAGCTCTGTGAATTGCATTTTAATGATTGCTAGCAGGTATTGTATTCTAAATAAGCAAGCATTGTTTAACTGAAGGTATGTGTGCTCATGGTGGTTGGATAGAACTACTGTCAGTATGCTTTTGCTTTGTGTGATTGGTCAAAAAACTTATAAAGTGAGTTGTAACATTAAGTTCTTTAGCTACTGCTGAGAACATGAGCTGCTGGCATCTTCCCATTGTCATAAACACGTAATGAGACTGATGCTGGAAAATGAACAGCTCAAGACACATTCCCCAGCAGTCCCGTCCCGTTGGTGATTTGTGCATAAACCCCTAACCAACAGCAGAGAGTGTGAGGAATCACGGTACTAAGGGCTGGGCTGAACCAGCACCTGGTTCTGTGCCCGTTCTGGCTGAATCCCTGGGGTCTGTGTCCACATTTTCACTGAAACCCTGTGTCTGTGCCCCTGTTTTGGCTGAATCCCTGTGTCTGTGATTCCCCAGCAGTCCCGTCCCGTTGGTGATTTGTGCATAAACCCCTAACCAACAGCAGAGAGTGTGAGGAATCACGGTACTAAGGGCTGGGCTGAACCAGCACCTGGTTCTGTGCCCGTTTTGGCTGAATCCCTGGGGTCTGTGTCCACATTTTCACTGAAACCCTGTGTCTGTGCCCCTGTTTTGGCTGAATCCCTGTGTCTGTGCCCCCATTTTCACTGAATCCCGGGGTTTGTGCCCCTGTTTTGGCTGAATCCCGGGATCTGTGCCCCATTTTGGCTGAATCCCTGTGTCTGTGCCTCCATTTTGGCTGAATCCCGGGATCTGTGCCCGTTTTGGCTGAATCCCTGTGTCTGTGCCCCTGTTTTGGCTGAATCCCTGTGTCTGTGCCCCTGTTTTGGTTGAATCCCTGGGGTCTGTGTCTACATTTTGACTGAATCCCTGTATCTGTTCCCCATTTTGGCTGAATCCCTGTGTCTGTGCCCCTGTTTGGGTTGAATCCCTGGGGTCTGTGACTACATTTTGACTGAATCCCCGTGTCTGTGCCCCTGTTTGGGTTGAATCCCTGGGGTCTGTGACTACATTTTGACTGAATCCCCGTGTCTGTGCCCCTGTTTGGGTTGAATCCCTGGGGTCTGTGACTACATTTTGACTGAATCCCTGTGTCTGTGCCCCCATTTTGGTTGAATCCCGGGGTCTGTGCCCCTGTTTTGGTTGAATCCCCGTGTCTGTGCCCGTTTTGACTGAATCCCCGTGTCTGTGCCCCATTCTGACGGCATGCCGGGGTCTGTGCCCGCTGCAGGAGCCGGAGCCAGACGCTGAGCTCGGAGGCCAGCGTGGACGAGAGCGGCGTGTTCGAGAGCCTCAAGGCCGAGGCCGCCTCCCCTCAGCAGCTCTTCTCGGGGCTGGCCGGCCTCCCCGCGGCCTCCATGGCCGCCGCGCCCTTCCCGGCGGGGCTGGTGCTGGGCTCGGCGGCCGGGGGCGGAGAGGTGTTCATCCAGATGCCGGCCCCGAGGGACGAGGGCGCCGGCCGGGCCGAGGGGGCCCCGTTCCACCACCGGGCCCCGGCGCATCACTTCCAGCACGGGCACCACCGCGGCTCCTCGCTGCTGCACATGGCCGGCGGCGAGCGGCACGGGCACGCCGAGGAGGGCGTCGAGGAGCAGGCCGGAACGCCGGCCCCGGCTCTCTCGGAGCTCAAAGCCGTGGTGGGCTGGCTGCAGAAGGGACTGCCCTTCATCTTGATCCTCCTGGCTAAAGTTTGTTTCCAGCACAAGCTCGGTGAGTATTCGTCAAAGCTTTTTGAGCTGTGTTGGAGGGTGGTTGGGAGGCTTTATCAGGCTCTGATGTCCGATATCCATGTGGCAGTGTCCAGATGGAGTCCAGCATGAAGGGAACATACTCAATGCATGGGATAATGCATGTGATAAATTCCCCCTACCTTCAGTCCAAGCTGTGTTCATCCGGGTCAGATCCATCAGTTTCCTGTCCTGATCAGTGTTGTTCCTTCTCCTGATTTCTCCCTGACATTCCTGGGAGGCTGAGGATGTTACCCAGCTCTCTCTAGGAGAGATGGGGAGAGCTTACACTGGTGACAGCAAAGATTTCTGTGTGGCACAGAAGGGCTCAGAGACTCCTGTCTCACAGGTGGGGTGGTGGGTGTGAAACCAAGCCAAACAGCATCAGAGGCTCCATCAGTTTCCTGTCCTGATCAGTGTTGTTCCTTCTCCTGATTTCTCCCTGACATTCCTGGGAGGCTGAGGATGTTACCCAGCTCTCTCTAGGAGAGATGGGGAGAGCTTACACTGGTGACAGCAAAGATTTCTGTGTGGCACAGAAGGGCTCAGAGACTCCTGTCTCGCAGGTGGGGTGGTGGCTGTGAAAGCCAAACAGCACCAGAGGTTTCTCCCTGACTGAGCCTTTCCCTGCAGGAATTGCTGTGTGCATTGGCATGGCCAGCACCTTTGCCTACGCCAACTCCACGCTCCGAGAACAGGTGGCTCTGAAGGTGAGTCTGGCATTTTACTTTCTTCTGTTTGGGGATTTTTGAGGGAGTTTTCAATGAGTTAGAGATGGGACCTCTGAGTTTTTTAGATGATGCGATTTATTTTCTTATTTTCTGCATAGATAGGAAGGGTGAGTTTGGCTCACATCTTCACAGCATGGTTCAGAAAGTCACAAGACTCCTAGTTACAAGACCTTTTAATGATTTTTTGACCGATAAAACACTGCCAACAAGGATATTTATGTTTTTGACTCAATCCTTATGGGCATTCATCTTATGGACTCACTCTACAGTGTAGGTTTTCTTAGACAATCATGTTATGACACACAGACCTACAGTACTACATTCTAAACTCCTTGTTTACCTTTGTAACTACTTTTATTTTTTCTATAACTTAAACTATAAAACTCTAAACTTTCCTTCACTTAATGTGTCTCTGCTTCAAACTATAAATCCACATTCTTGCTTCTAGCACCTAAGTTTGGAAGCCTTTTCCAAGGTCTCAGATCAAATACTGTGTTTAATTCTAAGCTTTGTTTTACAGGCTAACAAAGTTGAGCCAAAGTTCTGAGAATTCCTGCATTTTGGATTCCAACATTTCTGTTCCCAGCAAACATAATTTTCCATGCACAAAATAGCATCTGTGTGAACCTTTGATGGCAGTGTAGGGCTGAATGCATTTATTTGTGCACAGATCTGTCTTGTCCTTCCTGCCTCTCCCCCTGGTGTTCTCCCAAAGTCTCTGTCCTGTGGGTTTGTTTTTTTGTTTTGGTTTTTTTTGTTGTTGTTGTTTTTTTGGGTGGTGGTGTTTTTTGTTGGGTTTTTTTTTGTTTTTTTGTTGTTTTTTTTTGGTGAAATGTGGTGCAGTAAAACAAAAAGGACAGGTCAGGGATATTGTAATCTGCACCTCCCTGTGCCTGATGGTGCCTGTTCCAGCCCTTCTCTGCACCTTGCTTTTCCCATCACATACAACAGAGATGCTGAAGCCTATTTCACTTACTAATGATGAGATTTAGCTTATTAGCATTTAGATAATGTTTTGAGATGTTCAGCTGAAAGACTTCTTAGATGTGTTGCTTGCTAGTGGCTTTATAATGCTCTGGGCATTAATATGCTTAGAATGTAAAGAAACCAGCAGATCTTTTCAGGTCTTCTGATCTTCAGTGTTGGGAGAACACTTCAACAGCACTAAAAGCACAAGAATTGCTTTTTGGTCCAAATTACAGAATGGGTGGCACAAGTGCATGCTTGTATGTGCCAGCAGCAGTGGAGCAGTGAGAGCCAGAGTGAGAGAGCAGCTCTATGGCACAGCCCAGTCACAGATTGCTGTTGCCTTGCACTCTGCACCTTTGGCCTTCCAGCACTGTGCCCCTGATCTGCCTGCTCTAAATCTCTGCACAGCAGGCCTGGCTGCTCAACAGCCACAGAGACCTCCTTTCTTAATAAATCAGCCCACAAGAAAAATGGTGGGTGTTTTCCTCTCAGGAATAAAATTTACTCCTCAAAGTTACCAAGGGCCAAGGCCCAGGACAGTGTCTTCTGCCATCCAGCTTGTCTGTAACGTTCCATATATGTTGAAATGCAAAATTTTCCACTTGTTTTGACCTTTACTTATTTGTTCAATCAAACATGAATGTTCCATAACCACCATGCTTTAGGAAACCCCCAGATGTGCTGCAGGTGGCAGTGGGCTATATTTGATTTAGCTGAGCCTTCCACTGAGTGACTTTGGGTCTGTTTATAAAACATCCCTTTGATGAATTGTCACTCCAGCCAGGTGACAGCTCAGA